TCCCATATGTAGGAATATCATTAATAGTCCACATTAAAGAAGCATGCATGATAAAATTCTTCTTAGTTGATATATCATAAGTCAAAACGCCTTCAAACCACAATTGTTTGAGCTCATCTATCAATGGTTGTAGATAGACATCAATCAAACTTTTTGGATTCCGGGGACTTGGAATAACACAACTTAGAAAGATGTAGGGACTGGTCATGCACATTTCAGGAGGAAGATTATACGGAGTAAGAAATACCGGCCAACATGAATAAGGCGAAGCATTATTAGAGAATGGTGTGAAGCCATCTTAACACAACCCCAATCTAACATTTCTTGGTTCACTAGCAAAATCAGGATATACATTATCAAAATGCTTCACCATCAGATGGATGAGACAAGACATCCGGTGGCCTTCTATATTCACGATGCCAGCTCATATGTGGGGCAAACCTCATCGATGCATACAACCTCTTTAACCTAGGAATGAGAGGTAGATAATGCATCGCCTGAACTGGAACCATCTTTCCAGCCAGAGACCTCTTATAACGAGTATGTCCACAAAACTTACAATTTTCTAATTCACTATCAGTCTTGTAAAACAACATGCATCCATTAACACAACAATGAATTCTATCATACGTCAATCCTAACTTGGACACCAAATGCTTTGCTTGATAGAAGTTCTTTGGTATGTTAAACTCCGAATTAACTAGTTCACCCAAAAGATCAACCATTGAGTCCATAGCAACATTAGGAACATTCCAATCTGATTTAATATTCATTAATCTAACCGCAACTGACAAGGCAGAATGCAGACTCCCTTCACATAGTGGACGGCTAGACTCTTCTAATCGATTATAAAAGCGTCTTGCTTCTTCATTAGGAGCTTCATCAAAATATTGTTCCGGTTCCATCCCACCTTGAACCCCGAAAGCATCATTGATCATTTCATGAACCCTATCATGTTCAACCCTATCATGTTCAACTCTAACTTTTTCAACCCTAATTTGGCCATGTGATGCAACCATATTATATACATCAACAGGCATCGAATTATAAAATATACCATCCAATCCATCACTTTCTCCATGATCAATCCATACAAAATATCTAGGCTTAAATCCATTACGGTACAAATGAACCATAACTCTATCTGGTTTAAAAAAATTTAAGCACTTACATGCACTACAAGGAAACCTAACCAATCCATTAATCTTGAAAATGTCAAGTGTCATTGTATGTTCAATAAAATTTCTAACACCGTCAATAAACTCAGGTTTCAAACCAGCACCAGTTTCATAATGCATATTATACATCCACAAACGATGATCCATCTACAAAAATATAGATATTCAATTATATTATAAATAAAATTTAATAATAATTTTACTAGTAGTAGTCCTAAAACTAGTTTAGTATTGACAAAACCACATTATTTAATTTAACTTATTTAAACAACTTAACAACTTTTTAACTTGAACTAGTTTAGTTTTGACTTAATTCCAACAACTAAATCCATCAACAAAACCACATTTTTTAATCTAACTTATTTAAATTTAAAGCTAAGTGTCAACACTAGATGGACACAAATCGATCTTGCAAGAAAATCAATTTTGTCATCAATAGGATCAACTAGTGTTGCTACTCATGCTTAACAAATATATTATTTCTAAATTTAAAGCTAAGTGTCAACACTAGATGGACACAAATCGATCTTGCAAGAAAATCAATTTTGTCATCAATAGGATCAACTAGTGTTGGTACTCATGCTTAACAAATATATTATTTCTAAATTTAAAGCTAAGAGTCAACACTAGATGGACACAAATCGATCTTGCAAGAAAATCAATTTTGTCATCATAATCAACTAGTGTTGGTACTTATGCTTAACAAACAATCAATGGACACAAAAATATTATCATAAAATTAAAGCTAAATATCAATACTAGATGGACACAAACACATTATTGAAAACAATTGTACTTGAACTTTAGAAATTTAGAAGCACCAACCTTATCTCCTACTTTGATGAAAGAAGCAATATAGTCTTGTATCAACTTTTTTAGATGCTGAGCTTCCTCAGTTGCTTAGCACGAAAAGTTCTAAAATTAGTTAAATTTCAAGTTCAAGTTTTAATTTCAAGTTCAAGTTCTAATTCTAAGTTCAAGTTCAAGTTCTAAGTTCAAGTTCAAATTCTAATTTCAAGTCCAAGTTCTAAGTTCAAGTTCTAATTTCAAGTTCAAAGTTCAAGTTCAAATTCTTCGTTCAAGTTCTAAGTTCAAGTTCAAGTTCTAAGTTCAAGTTCTAAGTTCAAGTTCAAGTTCTAAGTTCAAGTTCTAAGTTCAAGTTCAAGTTCAACTTCTAAGCTCAAGTTCATGTTCATGTTCAAATTCTAAGTTCAACTTCAATAATAATTCAAACTAGTCCTAAATTCAAAATTCAAACTAGTCTTAAAATCACAAATTCAAACTAGTCCTAAAATCCCAAAATCTAACTAGTGCTAAAATCCTAAATTCAAACAACTCCTTAAATACCCTAATTCAATCTAATCTTACAATTCCAAAATCAAACTAATTAACTCAAGAAATACCGAATTTTAAACAAATCCTAAGATACCCTAATTCAAACAAACCCCAACATTAAAATTTTCTAGGGCTGGGCATAAACACCGAGAAACCGAAACACCGAACCGTAACGAATTATTTCGGTTTCGGTATTTCGGTTTTCGGTTCGGTTTTTGATATATATTTTCGTATTTTTCGGTATTTCGGTTCGGTTTTCGGTATGTCATTTTACATAATTCGGTATTTCGGTGTACCGAAATATATTACACTATATTTATAATATTATTAATATTTTATTAATATTAAATAAAAAAAATAGGTAAAATTAGGTCTAAGTCCAACTTAAACTTTAACTTTTCAACTTTTACTTTTTTAGCATAGCAGCAGCCCTCAGCCGCACATCAATCTACAGTCTACAATCTTTGACTCTTTTCCACTTCACCCTTGGTACTTCCCACGTTTTCCGGCGACCGGCCGACCAGAACACAGCAGGCCACCACGCAGGCAGCAGTTATCACGATTCACGCAGCAGCGAGCCAGCGACCAGCATCACCTAGCAGTCGACCAGCGACCACCATCGACAGATCGACGACCACCATCAGGTATTGTATTTAATGGATTGATTAGTTTTTTGTTGTCAATATTTCTTCTTCCATTTTAAGTTATCAAGTTTCAAAATGAATATTTTTTCATCCTTTTTTTTATTATTATTTTAGCTTTTGTTACTAGTTAGCTGTTAGTGTGTGATTTGTGAATTTTTATTTTATTTTATATAGATGGCTGAACAAAATCAATTAAATATAGGTGTGGCTAGTCAAAGTCGAATAAGTATGGCTGATTCTACGAATAATACACCTACTAATAGCAATGATGCGTCAATTGGCACAAAGGAAACAAGAAAAAGAAAAGAAATGGATCCTAGATCTCCTGTTTGGCAACACTTTGAAAAAAATATTTGAAAATGGTGTATTAGTTAAAGCAAAGTGTTTACATTGTAAACAAAACTATGCTGCTAATACAACTAGAAATGGAACAAGTGGACTGAGACAACATTTGACAAACCGATGTAAAGTGTATAAGCCCCCGCCTGTTGCACCTGGTATTCAAAAATTGTTAAATATTCAAAGTAACAGTTCTTCGATAGAGACTTGGAAATTTGAGCAAGAGGTAGCTAGGAGAGCTTTAGTTGAGATGATAATTTTGGATGAACTACCTTTTAGTTTTGTTGAAAAAGAAGGATTTAAGAAGTTTATGAGTAAAGTCCAACCTTTGTTTCGGATTCCTTCTCGTAGAACCATAACAAGGGATTCTTATGAAGTTTATGGTGAATTGAGAATAGATTTGAAAAAGTCTTTAAGAGAAATACAACCAAGAATTTGTCTCACAACAGACACATGGACTTCGGTGCAAAGAATCAATTATATGTGTTTGACTGCTCACTTTATTGACAGGGATTGGGTGCTTCATAAAAGAATATTGAATTTTTGTCCTATCACTAGTCATAAAGGTGAGCATTTGGCTGAGTGTATTAGTAATTGTTTACTTGATTGGAATTTGGACAATGTCTTTACTGTTACGGTTGATAATGCCTCTTCAAATGATGTGGCGATTTTAGAGTTGTCCAAAAAATTAGATATGTGGGGAACTAATATGATGGATGGTAAGCATCTTCATGTGAGATGTATCGCTCACATACTTAATTTGATTGTGCAAGATGGTTTGAAAGAAATTGGTCCTTCTATCAACGGGTGAGACACATGGTGAAATATGTTAGATCATCTTCTACAAGGACAAGAAACTTCTTGAAATGTGTTGAAATGCAAAAGATAGAATGTGACAAAATGTTGTCTTTAGATGTGCCTACTAGGTGGAATTCCACCTATTTGATGTTGGACACGACAGAAAAATTTGAGAAGGCTTTTGAGAGGTTTGATCTTTATGATGGTAATTTTAATTATTTTCTTGCTACTGATGTTTGTGAAGATGGAACTATTGCAGGTTCAATTCAAAATGAGGATTGGACTAATGTGAGGAATGTCACAAAGTTTCTTGAAAAATTTTATGAGCTCACACTGAAAGTTTCAGGTTCACGGTATGTTACTTGTAATGTTCATTTTAAGGATATATGTGAGCTTGATGCATATTTGAAAGTATGTATGACAAGTGATGATGTTGATTTGAGTAAAATGGCTACGGGGATGAAAGAAAAATTCAAGAAATATTGGGGTACTCCTGAAAAGATGAACAAAATGCTTTTTATTGCTTCTGTTTTGGATCCTCGCAATAAATTTGTGTATGTTAGTTTTGCTCTTGAAGAATTACTCGGGGAAGAAAAGGGAAAGATAGTGAATAATGAAGTAGAGGCATACTTGAAGAAATTGTTTGCGATCTATGTAAGTAAGTATGCAAAAGGTTCTAAAAATCAATCATCTTCGTCTAACTTATCTGATTCATCTACTTGTGGTCTTTCTCAAAATGTGAAAACAAATTCTTTGAGAACTAAGTTTTACATGAAGAAACAAAAGGAAGATTCTGGAAGTTTAGGTGTTAAATCTGAGTTGGATAGATATCTTCTTGAAGACCAAGAGCCTGAATCTGAGGATTTTGATATTTTGATTTGGTGGAAAGTTAATTCTCCTAGATTTCCTGTACTTTCACAGCTGGCTCGCGATGTATTGGCTATTCCTATGTCGAGTGTGGCATCGGAATGTGCATTTAGCACCGGTGGTCGTATTCTTGATCCCTTTAGAAGTTCATTGACTCCCAAATGTGTGCAATGCCTTATTTGTGTCCAAGATTGGCTTAGACAAGAAACTAAGCCTATTTGTGTTGAAGAAAGTTTGGAGTTTCTTGAAAAAATTGAACTTGGTAAGACTTTTTATTTTTTATTTGTTTTTGGAAAAAATAAAATACTTATTGTGTTGTATCTTGTATGACATATTTGATTTTCTTATTTATAGAGATGGCAAATAGTGGAAGAAGCTCTTCCATTGTTGATCTATGATTGGCTTGCAAGTGGTGAGTTCAATACGTCATTTATTTAATCATATCATTTTTTTAATCTTAAAAGTAGTGTTCTAACATTTGATTTTATCTTAAAAGGTCCAAGAGTCAAGACAATGAAGAAAGACGTAAAGTACTAAGTTTTGTTAGTATTTTTGTTGGCACTTGAGACTTGAAAGTTGAAAGTGGTCTCATGGAAGAAAGTCAAGAAAACTGATTATTGTTGTTTGTTATTGTTGGCATTTGAAAGTGATCTCATGGAAGAAGGCAAGAAGCTACATTGTTTGTTGCTCATTATTGTTTGTTATTGTTGGCACTTGAAAGTTGAAACTTGAAAGTGGTCTCATGGAAGAAACTACATTGGTGCATTATTGTTACTTGTTAGATTGTTATTATGTTGTTGTGTAATGGCTTATGGCATGATCAATTGGTCATTGTATTTGTGAAGACATTAACTACAATGCACTTTTGTTTTAGTGACATTGTTAATTAAAAATTTGCGTGTTTTAGTGACATTGTGAATTAAAAATTTATGGTGTTAATGCCTAATTGCAGATTGGCAGTATGGCACTTCGTTTTGACTTCTAAGTTTTAATGTGAGCTTCTTTGGTGTTAATGCCTAATCGCAAATTGGACTTATGGTATCTTCTTTGGTGTTATTTTACAGAATATTGTAGCTATTATGACATAGCAATGTAACTATTTTTAGCCCATTAAGCTGAAAAATCAAACAAAAAAATTGTAAAATTTTAAATTTTAAACAGCCCACTAAGCAGGCCCATAAAAAAAACCGAACTAACAAAAACCGAACCGAAATAACATAAACCGAACCGAACTTAAAAACACCAAAACCGAACCGAATTACCGAATGCCCAGCCCTAAAATTTTCATTTCACAATCAACAAACACAAACTAACAATCAAATAATCCCCAATTCAAACTAACCATCAAAAACCCCTAAATCATTCACTTACTAACTAACAATCAATCAAACAAACAATCAATAAAAAAAACTAATTCAATACACTAATTAACAAATTCAATACTCAAACTGAAAGAAATTAAAAATAATATTATGAAACCCTAACCTTCAATTAAAGGAGAAGGGCAGTGGATCGAGGTCGGGGTCAGTTGGCCGGAGATGTTGTTGCTCTCCTCGCCGGCTGCTGATGTTGATTGTTTGGAGCTCGTTGGGCGGAGCAGTTGAGGGAGAGACAGAGCAGCGAACTTTCGCTGATTGGAGAGACGAGAGAGAGGCAGCGATTTGTCTCGCCATTCTCGCCGGTGAGAAGAGACGGGAGGGAGCAAGGAGAGAAGAGATGAGAAGAGGAGGGCGACGGGAGGAAGTTGGGCTGCTTGAGAGAGAAGAAAAGAATGAGTTTTCAAAATTAGAGGGTTTGGTCTTTTTTTAGGTCAAAAATAGGAAGGTTAGGTAGATTTAATTTGAGCCATTGGATTAGTTAAGATGAGCGGCTAGGATTTGATCTAGGATTCACTTAAAGGATGGACGGTTAAGATTTAAACTAATGTTTCAAGATTTGGACAAAAAGGATTATAATTGCAATGAATGAATGGCTAAAATTGCAACTAAAATTGATATAAGAGGCTATAATTCAAAAACGAAATTGGATTGAGGTGGCTAGAATTGCAATGAATTGAATAAGGAAAAAGCTAAATTTGAAAGGAATTAGATTAGAATGGACTAAAAATTAAATGATTTCGAGAAAAATTAAAGAAATGCTATCCAATTAAAATACTACAAATATTATAACATTTTATATAATAAAAATCACTTAAATTTTTAAAAATTTGAATAAAATAATTTTCCGAGTTTTACTTATAATTTTAAAAATATTTTAATAATATTTACGATAATTTTATAAAGCATGCAAACTAAAATATATAATTTTTAGACAAAATCGATTAAAAATTTAAACTCGGAATATTTTAAAAAAAACACATATTTAACCAAATAGCACTTCCGAAAAGGTTATAGGTCTGTCAAAATTGGGTGTCAACATACGGACATCGTGAAGTCGATATTATCTAAATAAAATAATTATTTAAATATACCGACCTCTTTAGGTCGGTATTTATTAATTTATTTTAATATAAACTCACCTTTTGAGGTTGATTTTATTAATTAAAATTACATATACATATACATACATACATACATACATACATACATACATATATATATATATATATATATATAATTTAACTACACATCAACAAAAGTTTAATTTAATAAATTTAATTTATCGATCAAGTTAATTTTATAAATTTAAATTATATACCTTCTAATTATATAAATTTAATTTTATTGATCAACAAAAGTTTATCAATATCAAATTTAATATATAAATCTCCTTAAATTGATCATCGATATTTCTTTAATTGATAATGTATTTCACATCTGAACCACTAGTATATAAGACTTGATTTGTTAAACTACTCGAGGAATATATATATATATATATAATTAATCAACGTATTTCATACTCCGATGAAGTATCCTTTACATGTCATCATAATTAGGAGGTGATCACTACACTTGACATCCATTCAAGATCGAACGTATATAATAATACTATCTCGCATTTCATATTGGAATGGATTATATGTTAGCTCTTCACCTCTACTACATCATGACATGAGATATTAAGTTTATGATTAGACGACGGACTGATAGGATTTGTACATTACTCTATAAATATAAGTATAATTATCTCCTAATTCATATCAATGTAGTTTCATACTCTAAATATGGATTATAGATATTTTTTTTATTTATTTCACGAATTCTAACATTTTATTTGTAAAAGTATACAAAATTGTTACACTTTTTAAACAATTAATCGTAGGTATAAAATGAAATTTTAATATTATGCACAATAGCAAAATTATGATTAATAGGAATATTTTAAACATACCGACCTCCGGATGTCGCTTTTATTAAAAGTTGTTAGATATAATAAAAAATACCGACCTCATGAGGTCGGTATCACATTAAATTTTAAGATAAATAAAAAGTAATCATGTTAATTAAATAATATTGACATCTGGAGGTCGGTATTTTATATTAAATTATTTTTTAACTTATATAAAACCGTCATTCGGAGGACGATTTATTTAAAGTTAATTGAAAATATTAATTTATTACATACTATTTAATTTTACCGACATCTGGAAGTCGATATTATAATTTTTTTTGTTTTTTATTTTACACAAAACCATTCTCCGGAAGACAATTTAAATAAAATTAAATCAAAATATTTCTCAGCTTTGTTTTTTATATGTAGAAATGGGGAAAATCGCGTATGCTAGTGCAGATATTTTTAAAAAAGCGACGGACAACGTCTCTATGTCCGTCGGTGTTTTAAAAAAATGTTTGACCAACATTTTGACCAAAAAGCGACAGACTAAGAGACATTGTCCGTCGCTTTCTTAAAATATTTGACCAGATATTTTGACCAAGAAGCGACAGACATAAAGATGTTGTCCATCGCTAATTTAAAAAATAATTAAACAATTAAAATTAATAAAAAGCGACGGACGGCGTGACTTTTTTTTTAATTAATAAATAATTATTTTTAATAAAAAGCGACGGACTGCGTCACTATCTATATAAAATAATTAATTAGCAAAAATCCGCGAAAAAAAGTGACGGACTAAGCGATGCCATCCGTTGCTTTTAAAAAAAATATTTTAATTAAAAAGCGACGGACTAAGAGATGTTGTCCGTTGCTTTTTAAAAATATTTGACTAGATATTTTGACCAAAAAGCGACAGACTAAGAGATGCCGTCCGTCGCTTTTTTAAAAAACTAATTAATAAAATAAAATAAATTAAAACGACGGACAGCGTGGTTATTGTTTAATTTATAAATAATCATTTTTAATAAAAAGCGACGGACGACGTCTCTATATATATTAAATAAATTATTATTAATATTATATATATATATATATATATATATTATTTTTTTGCGCAAAAATCGATAAAAAAAAGCGACGGACTAAGAGATGCAGTCCGTCACTTTTTGTAAAATAATTTTAAAAATAATTATTTTAATTAAAAAGCGACGGACGGCATCTTTTAGTCCGTCGCTTTTTTGGAGCGACGTTGTCCGTCGCTTTTTCTTCCGTCATTTTTTAGCAGTTTTTTAGTAGTGGTTAAGCTAGCCAAGTGGTCACATACGTATGTGATAGTGATACCATCAAATTAAAGAAAACAAAATTAAAGGATGGAAGCAAAGCATATGACAATTTGAAGAAGACATCTCCCTAACACCTCATCACCGACCCTAACATCTCATTTGCACAATTTCTAAATTTCACAAAATTGTTGAAAAAGGTGAATAGACCATTTCTATTTTGTATTAATAGCAACCTAAAAATAAAATATGTTGGTGAAGGGAGTGTTTCTCCTTTAAAAATTCTTATGCGAGCCAAATCAAAATTAGTTAGGACCTCATAGGTATTAAATATTATATCAAAATAAAATTTTAAAAAGTCATATTAAGTAATATCAAATAATAGTGTATAATTATAAATTTATATCAAAATCTACAATCTAATTTGGTAAAAATGAAAGTCAATTTGATTTGGTTGATTTTATCGATTTTTAAAGAATTATTGATACTTTGGTACGGTACTTTTTTTATAATAAACCTTATATGATGTAAATTCAATTGAGTTGAAACCCTCGAAATAAATATCAGATATTAAACATATAGCAAAAAAAGTAAAAAGAGTGAATTTCATGTTGAAGTAATACCTACCAACCAATACGAAGTTCAGACTTGTACCTTTTCCATTTTGGGCTTCATTGACTAATTAAGTCCTTTTTTTCCTCCGAAAATTATCAAGTGGATGAGGTTGTTTTTTTCTTAATGAAAGGTTTCATTTTTTAGTTTACGATATAAAATAATTTCTTAGTAGTTAGTATAGAGTACTTTCCTCAAACGAGTTTTAATTGACATGAATTTAAATTAATTCGATTTCAATACGAA